TTTTATAATTTCTTTTATGTTTTTCTTATTTTAAATATTTTATTAATAAGATATTTTAATTATTTTGCGATTTTTTAATGTTTATGATTTTTCTGATTTTTTTGAATTTTTTCTGATTTTTTTCAATTTTTAATGATTTTTTAATGATTTTTAATGAATTTTTATATTTTCTGTATTTTTATTTTTATTTTTCGTAATTTTTTTTAAAAAAAAAGAGAGAAAAAAGAACCGACACGTCATCGCTTTTGAACAGTACCGGTCACATTTTTAACTTGATGTACAAGTAAGCCAGATTGGAGGTTTAATATGCTAAATTTGCCAACTTGAGTGTTTAAAGTGCTTGTAAAATACTCTCAGGGTTTAAAGTGTAAGTGGTTGCCACCTTGAAGGTTTTTTATGCGATTTTCCCAGTAGAAAAATAAAGTAGAGGGGGTGTTTTAGAAAAGGCGTGTTTTAGGGGCGTTTCTATTCCCTTTGATCTTTTCGCGTTGGCTGTCCGAAAGGTCTAAAGCGTGTCATGTAACATGCAGAGAACTTTTGGATTCCCAATATTAGTCCTTTCGTAAATATAAAGTTTTTATTCGGCACTCTAACTTTGTTTTAATACTAATAAACCCGCCAATGTGTTGACGCTTCGTAAAAAAAATTGACGGTCAATTATTCGCTGCCCCTACCTCTTTTGTCTTTGACGTGGCACCGTCCAACTTACGTCACATACTTCCGCTAAAACAAACATCGTCACGTCGGCAGAGCAATTATAGTCAAACCGTATTGTCTTTCGGTTCTGTTAAACCGGTACCAATCAAATTTGCCCATGCTAATCCCACACTTTTTCCACATTGAAGTATATATAAGAATAAAATAAATAAATTCATACAGAACTATAAACACAAAAAACACTAAATAACAAAAAAAAAAACACTTGAAATTGTAATTGAAATATTTTTGGTACGGTTTTGTTTTGGTTTACGTAACCGGTTACGAAACCAATCGAATTATAACGACGTTAATGAAAACCGTCAGAAAAGACTTTGTACTCGTCTCTTTCACACCCACACTCTCTCTCCTTCTTTAGGAAAGAGAAGAGGAGGAAGGAAGAAAGCAAAGCAAAGCACTCGCAGTGTTTTCGTTTCCGTTTCTCACTCTACAAAAATCCACCGCTCTTAATTTGAAACCGTCTCTGTTTCTGAGAGTTCCGACAGCAGGTTCGCTGTTGTTCCTCACTTTCTTAATTGTCTCCTTGTTAAAATTCTCTTAAGCTTTTATGTGTTTAGGTGTCGATTTTAGGGTTTTTTTAATTTCTATTTTAGGGGTAATCTCAACGAAGCTTGTAGGTTCCTTGGCCTGTATTCTCGGATCTGTTCAATTTTGCTATTTTTGGTGTTTTAATGAGATTTGTTTATTTTTTTTTTTTTGTTCATTTATATATTTTTTTTTAATTATAGTGAAGATAGTCATCAAAGTTCACTTGGTCAAGTTTAAGTTTTTTCTTTTGTGGGTGTGGGATGATCACAAGCTCTTATCAGTGGTTTTAGTAACATTGTATGTTATTGTGTTTGCTTGTTTCACTGTTTGATGTTTTATAGTGTTTGTTTAACAAGGTTTTGAGGTTTCATGCCCCAAACAATTTAAGCCGGAAGTAGTTTCCAGATCCTTGAGTAATTATGGGGAATGCTTGTTGTGTTGCTTCTGCTCATGACAAAATGGTACTTCTTAACACATCAGCAGCTGTTGAGGATTTGCAAAGAAACAATGTTAGGTACTCTCCAAATTGGAGCTTCCGGTGGGATAATAGAAGGAGAGTGGCTGGTGAAGATACTTCTCTTAGTTGGTTATCTGATGGGATTAGTCGTAATGATGATGGCTCTGATCTCAAATCTGAATCTGCATTTGTATCGTCATCACAAGGCTCTCCTTTGAACAATTGCAACCAGACTCAGCACTCATGGCAAAAGTCTCCTGCTTCTGGTAAAAAAAAAAGATTTAACCTTTTAGATTTTTCGATTAGTTGCAGTGGAAAAACATGTTTAATCTGTCAAAAACCTGTAGAGTTTAAGGGAATATTTAGGTAACTTCTTGTTTTTGTGTGGTGGTCCACTTGGAATTTAGGAATACTTTTCTAACATAAACCTGTTCATGAGAAGACATTGATATGTCTGTTGTTGAAACAAGTTGTCTGTCTCTCTTGTTTGCTTCCGGGACTGCTTTATTATTGGTCTCCATCCATCATGATCAACTGTGATTTTTCCCTGTTTTATGACATGACTTAATTGTTGTGGCAGATCAATCGTTTTCAAGAAATGCATCCTTGGACACCGTCTCTGAACAGGTAAAAAAAGCTAGTGAATAGCGATAAATATCTGCCATGTATCTCTGCTAATATAACCTCTACTTTGTAGATCATCCAGAATCATCCTGTAAAACGTTCTGTTTCATTGGCTTCTCAACCATCATCCTTCTCGGCATCTCCACTCTCTTCCCAGAGCCACTTGCCAATGCCACCTGCAAGTTCATCGGCGCTGAAACTGACACCACGCACTCGTCTATCAAAACAAGTCTCAGACAGTCAAATCTTTGGATTCAACTCACCAAGCAGAAGCTCAGCAACTGAAGAGAGGCCGGGAAGCGAGTTCAATTCTGGGCCATCTGATGCTTGGTCCATGCAAGCCTTTTCCGAAATGATGGCTTATTCTCGGAGAGAGTCTTGCTCCTACGATAACGAGTGCTTAGTGCTTGGACGTAACAAGGTAGACCATCAAGGAAAGCAAACCTGTGGTGCTTGCTCTAGATCCTTGTCTCAGAAATCGTTGCTGAGTAGCCAAAAGATCTTTGCTACCAACGAGCTCTCTGTAGCTGCGATTCTAGCTTGTGGGCACGTCTATCATTCCGAGTGTTTAGAACAGATGACACCTGAAAACGACAAGTTCGACCCTCAGTGTCCTGTCTGCACATTGGGTGAGAAAAAGACATTCAAGCTGTCGGAGAAAGCATTGAGAGCAGATTTGGAATCGAGAGCTAAACACCACAAGATACTAAGAAAACGCGTTGTGGACAGCGATGACATTGTCATGTTTGATCACAGGCCCAATGCAGCAGCAGCAAGCGGGAGTGGACACAAAGGTAAAGTCTCCAAGCTGCTAACGAGCTCAAGCTTAAGAAGTTATTCACCAAAGCCTTTTCTTGCAAGACATTTCTCTTTCGGGTCTAGAAGTAACAGTGTCAAAACCCCTAAAGAGAATCATTCGGCGACCTCTCTCAAGAAGAAAGGATTCTTCTGGACCAAATCGAGCAAACTTTGAAATTTTGTTCCAGATTTGTTTTGGTGCTGTTTATCTCCGTAAGCTTTGGCCCAAGTCAATGTTACGGATACTATATCAACAATACACACTTGTTTTGTGTAATAGAAATTTCGCACAAATCTTAAACAAACTCTTTCTTCTTTAACTTTTTTTTTTGTGCATTCCAAAATTTTCAAAACTTGTAAGTCGAATAAATTATAAATAGCGTAAGGTAAAAGATTATGGGAAGAAATATTTTGATACATTTTACTTTATGCTTTGTAGGCTATTAATTTTTATACATGCAAAACTAGGTGTTGTGCCCGTATATACGGGTATAATTTTCTTATGAATATTTATTATTTTTTGTTTTATTAATTCTAAAATAATATTATAAGTTATTTTTTATAGTTTTAGAAAGCCTAAATTAAACATTAAATATTTTTATATGAATTTTCATTAAAATCTATATATTTATTATAGTGTTGAAAAACATCCACATAATAAAATATTTTTGAAAATATATTTATATTCTTACTTAATATTTAATTTTAATTTTTTTTATAACTTACACTTTTATTTTTCATAATAAAAAAGAATATTTTCAGATAACTGTATAATATTCTATAAGATATCTTATGTTTTAAATATGCAAGAATGTGGATAATTATCCTATAAATTTATAATAAATTAACTAATATAATAAGATATAAATTTCTTTCACTAACATAAAATTCGTTTTTAACTAGTTTATATATAAATATATAAATTTCATAAAAGATATCATTAACTTGAACTGTTCCAAGTTTTACTATCTAATATTTAATTATATAATTAAAATTAGCTTTATACAAATGTTTTTGTTTGATTAATATTTAATTAAAATCGATTATTACATTTTAATTTTTAAATTTTATAATAGAATGATATTATTTTCAAAAGCCAAAATCAATTATATATAAAATTAAGATATATAAACATTATCATGTTGTTAAAATATTATATTAAGATAATAATAACATATATAAGAATTATCTTATTTTTGATTTTTTATAAACTTATTCTATTAATTATTCTCAGTTATCTAAGAAAATAATATACTAATCTACTTTTATTTTTTTAATTTCGTTTTTAATTATAAAATTAGCTATATATAAAAATTTCATTAAAGTTAAAATAGATATTAACCGCTCCAATTTTTAAAGTGAGAATTCTGTTACGAAAAATCACTTCGCAAATAATAGTATAGATTCGTTTTTATTTTTGAGAAATTTATATATTTATTCATTAATGGTATAAACGATATTAAACACTCTAATTTTTAACGTGGGAGTTCTATTGCGAAAAATCACTTAACAAATAATAGTATAGATGTTTCAGTTCAAAACCAATCGCAACAGTAAGCTAATAAACAAATAAATGGCAATATTAGTTGTTAAACCCAATATAAAAAATTACCGCGAGATATATTTAAATAAAATAGATTGGCTTTACGATTCGGAAGACCGACCAAGCTTATGTACCATTTCTTTAGCGGTTCCACGTCCTTGATCAAAGCCAATACGTCTGTCCATACAAAACGCCATAGATGATAACGTTCCTCTATCGAATTCTTCAGAAACAAAACAGTTTATTATGTCGGATATTCGTGACGTATTGGTATCAAAACAAACACATGGCACGTGGCACTCTCCCTAATCCCCTCGTGGCAATACGATTCACACAGGCCGGCACGTCTCATAACCATGCAGACTAACATGTTATAATATATACACTTGTTCGACCACAAACTTTCTATTCCAAGAAGCACGTCGGAAACAAAATAGAAGTGTTAAGGATTTGCTTACAATGGCGGATTTGAAAGATGAAAGAGGAAACCCAATCCATCTAACAGACGAACATGGAAACCCGGTCCAGCTCACTGATGAGTTCGGTAACCCCATGCACATAACCGGTGTCGCCAGCTCTGCTCCTCAGTACAAGGAGAGTGTTACCGGTAACATTCAAGAGTATCCAACCTCAGCACCACCTGCAGCGGCAGGAGTCACTGCTGGTACCGGTGCAGCTGTGACCACAGGTGCAGCTGCGACCATGGCCGCAGGAATCACCTCGGCTACTGGTGGGCCAGCCACAACAGGGCAGGAACACCATGGCTCGCTTGGAGAGCACCTTCGTCGGTCAGGGAGTTCATCCAGCTCTAGCTCGGTGAGATTCTCATGCATCTATACCTTATACTTTATAGGTTAAAAAGATGCTGATGATGGAGTTCTTGAACTTGATTTAATATATTACTATTGAAATAAATCAAGCCATTTTTAGTTTATTAAACGCAGCAGTAAGATTTGTTGAGTTTATCTTGTATTTATTAATACAATATATATGCTAGCTACTTTTGATATTTTGTTTTAAGAATATGTAATCTTTGGGATGTATTTTGGATAGTTATGTACAAGGTAACCAGAATTGTACCCATATGGATCGATCTTTGATCTTTGAGTTAACGTGTGTGTGATTGTTAAAATATGTATTATAGGAGGACGATGGACAAGGAGGAAGGAGAAAGAAGAGCATGAAAGACAAAATCAAAGAGAAGTTCAGTAGCGGTAAGCAGCACAAGGATGAACAGACCCCCACCACCGCAACAACTACAGGACCCACAACCACCACCACCACCGACCAACCTCATGAGAAGAAGAGCATACTCGAGAAGATCAAGGATAAACTTCCCGGCCACCACAACCACCACCCCTGAAGACCATAAAGTAACTGTATTAGATTTCATGAATAAATTTCGGTCTTGCACCAATGTACGTAGGGTTTTATCAATTATGAATATCATCTGGTGAAGTTTACTCCTGGTTCATTTAGTGGTTTTCAGTTTGTGAACTTTGTATCACGTTGTTGCTTTCGTTTATAAAAAAAAAGATTGTTTTTGTTAGTATTCTCGTGTCCAATGACCACGAATAATATTCAATAACTTGGTTAGGCAAGAAAAAAAAATCATATAATATATGCAACTTGCTACTTTCAAGGTCGGTAAGAAACCATATGACACTACTTGGTTCATGGTCTTAGAGATCTTAAGCTACTTGTTTCCAGTCCTACTTCTCCCCCCCCCCCCCCCCCCCC